AATGAACTTTTTATAAGGACATATAGCGACAGGACAAGGGAAAGTGGTTTTAAACTGAAAAACAGTAGATTTATAGTAGATACTAGGAATAAATTCTTTACTGTGAGCGTGGTGAAGCATTTCAACAGGTTGCCCAGAGAGGTTGTGAATGCCCCCTCTTGGGAAGCATTCAAAGACAGGCTGGATGGGACTTTAAGCAACCTTGTTTGGAGGGAGGTGTCCCTGCCTTTAGCAGAGGGGTTGAAACTAAATGATCTTAAGGGTCCCTTCAAACCCAAACCATTCAATGATTCTATGACTAAGCCTCAGCAAGTTCCCAGATTGTCAGTCCAACACTTTAATATACTTTTTGTTCAATATTTTTAAAGTTGCATAAGAAAAATAGAACTGTAAAGTCTCATTTACAGGGAGGAATGTGGCCTCCCTTTTCCCATACTTTTGACAGAAAAGTACAGCATACGGTATATAGTATTTATCCCCATGTGGGCTCTGAAATCTGTGACGCTTAGCAGAAAAGCAAATGCCCTCCACAATTCTCCACCCACAGAAAAGACATCAGGATTGGCACATTAAATCAGTAGAAATTTCCTTGATGCAAACAAACAAGGAGGAAGCAGTGTCCTTTTCTCATGAGTTGTATAGCCGCTTGCCTTTGGAGGACATTGGCCTACTTCTCTTTAAGCCATTAGTTACTCATTCTACAGCAGAGGAGAAGATGTGTTAAAACCAAAGAATATCTTGAGTTGGAGAAGACCTACAAAGATCAAGTTAAACTCTGGTTCCACGCAGGGCGACCCCAAATTCAAACTCTGTGTCTGAAAGTTGTCCAAATGCTTCTGGAAATCTGACAGGCTTGGGGTCATGACCACAGGCTTGGGGAGACTATTCCAGTGCCCAATCACACTCTCAGTGAAGAATCTTTCCCTAATACCCAATCTTGCCCACCTTCGCAATGCAGCTACATGCCGTTCCTTCAGGTCCTGACATTGTCATCACAGAGAAGAGATCAGCACCTGCCCCTCTGCTTTCCTGGGCTGTGGCTGCTGTAATGCCTCCCTTCGTTCTCCTCTTCATTGGGCTGAACAAACCAAGGGATCTCATCTGCTCCTCATACGTCTTGCCCTACAGATACTTTCACCATTTTTGGATTCTGTCCAATAGCTTTTTGTCTTTCTTATATTGTGGCCCCCACAGTGCTTGAAGTGAGGCTGCACGAAGGCTGAGCAGAGGAGAACAATCCCTCACCAGGACAGCAGTGTTTGGAGAGAAGAAATGCACTTAATGCTTCACAGTGCCTTACTCAACTGAAATGCCTGCAGAAGCCATATCTACAGGCATAACTAAACTAGTCCCAAGTTGCTGCATCTCATGCCAGCATCCAAAGTGGCTCCTGGATGGTTCAGGAAGGACAAGGAAGGACAATTCAGCTTTGTAATTTCCCCTCTGGTGTCATTACAGCTTCAGAGAACCACAGAATTCAGTTCCTGGAATGTATTTCTCTCTGTTCAGACTAACTTCACACACTTCCTCTTGTAAAACACAGATGCAGTATGCACTGGCAGCTCTGAGGGTAAAAGGCTCTGTTAGGATTGCCACCACATCTTCCCGTAGATATCAACCTTTTCTTCAAGCTCTTCTATAGTGTATAGTTCATCAGTGTAAATTTGTCAGGATGCATCTAACTTTTAAATGATAATAACTTCATATCTTAAAAGTTTTAGGTTCTTCATTATCATTTAGGAAAATTTACAGCGAGACTGGCCACATTTTGAATTTCTGAGACAACATGGACTGAACTTGAGACAGAAAAAGGAAAAAAAAAAAAATTGAGAGGAGTATTACCAGGTAGTTCCATATATAGTGGAGTAATAGAACATAAGTCAATTCTAATACATTGTCTAGCTGTCTTGTTCAATCCCTCATTTATTTCAGTCTTGAATCTCTAAATATCATCTGTCCTATGGGAGAACTATTACAGGCACTCGTTTATAGTAATGACATCTGTTTCACAGAGCTATCAAGCCCCCAACAGCACCAGACACTTTCAGCTTTGGAACTGAAGCTTGTCCCATTGCACTTTATCACAGACCACGTGAGATTCTGTGTATCCATTCTTTTTGGGAGCATCTCTCCAGTAGCAGAGCAGGAGCTCGCTCTGCTCTTCCTTGCAGCTTAGACGCTGGACACCTTATCTTGCAGAACCCTTCCTCCCACCTTTTCTGGGCTCATACCAGTCTCACAACATCATGAAGAGGAAAGAACACACTCTGCTTGTTGGAAGAAGCTGCATAAACGTGTGACAAAACTCCACACTGGGAGCATTCTGAAGAAAAAAAAAATAAAAAGACATTTAAAAAGAAAAGACACAGATAGGTTCGACCTTGATATTGGTTCTACCTGCTCCTATCAGAACAGTTCTGGGCATCGAGAAATGCTGCTGAATATCTGTACATGACGCTTTGAGCACCACTTCCAATTTTTTTTGCAGCAAATTGGTCAAAATTTTTCTTCCCAAGTCACTGTGAAGAGACAAAGCAAAATCAGCTGGGACACCAGTGACACTGGGGGAGGCAACATGATAGAACGAACTTCTCCATTAAAGCAAAGCAGCTGCTGCTTTGATAATATTCTAGTGTGCTGTGCTCTCACGGAGTTGCAAGGGAGCAATGGCTGAAGCCAGCTGCAACAAGAGAAGTCCATGTTACACTGACCTCAGAAGTCTAATACAAAATCTGCACTGCTACCCCCACAGAAGAGCAGTTAGTTCACACTATAACCCTAGGAACCATCTCCATAGACATACATATGGTAGACACAGTTTTGGGAGAGGTGCCCTGGGCTTAACACCAGTATGACAGAGAACAGAAGATGGCCTACTGTCAACCCCCTCCTACACGAACAAAATACAAGCCATGCTTATGACCTGAGAGGGAATTGTTACTGAGCCTAGCCTATAGAGAAATCCCTGCACCACCCAGTTGGGTGTAATAGCTCAAAGAAGCCACTGCAGCCTCTTGGAGCAGTTTTCTTGTAAACAGACAGTTGTAAGTATTAGAAGAAAAGTAACTAAATTCTATAACTTAAAAAAAGTTTGTGAACTGAATCTAAGTGGCAGTATTGCTATCAACCTGATATCTAATTTCGTTAGAGGTGATTTAGATATAATGCATTGTTTTAACAAAAATGATCTGCGGTCTGCAAGTGCCAGTATAATGTTTGTAAGTGGCTGTACGTTTCTGTATTTGCCAGTACAGGCAGTCTTGAATACGGGTGACCTCACTGTGCAGTGGTACAATCTGTGTGCAACCGCTTTCAAGACAAGTGACTCCAGTCAGTTTGCACAACAAAACAGTTCAAAAAGTAAGCCACATGAAATTAAATCCACTTTTAATTGGTTATGCTTCCAGATAAGTGCTATTTATATATACTTGACAAGAGATATGGAACAAGTTCCAGGTAATCAAATCACTTTGCTGAAAGAAACACTGCCAAGCATGTATTAGTTCACTGTACGCTCATCACAGTTTAATATCCTGAAACTGTGATCCTAGATAGGCTCCCAGGGAAAGCTACAAGACAACTAATTGCAGTACTTCCTTCATGAATGTTCTTTCATGCTTTGGAATATTTTGAAAACTTCTTTTCACTTGAAAATGAAATAATAAACATTTTACAATTTCACTCTCTTTAGATACATGGACTGTTCAAAGTCAACCACTCCAGATCTTTCAGCAGAACTCCAGTTCTTAAACAGAATAACAACAGCCTTTCAGTTTTGTCCTTCTAGTGCCTTTTTTCAATTATATATCAAAATTTAACTACTTAAAGGCTTGCTGTTTCCCTTCAAGAGTGGAAAAGGACAAAAGCATCGTTCCCTGGCCTTTCTTCCCAAGGAGCCAGAGAGATGAAATTTAAAAAAAGTCTTTTAACTTCTCTAAAGAACTGTTTCATAAAAAAGCAGATATACAAAGCAGAACGCACATCTACAAGGTTGTTCAGACTGAATGCGCAGTGACTGACTGCTTTTGTTCCCCCCTTTCTTGAAAAGCAGCGATAAATGCTGTTTGTGGGCTGATGGAATTCTCCAGCCCCAGTAACACACTGAAGAGGACTGTGAGGCCTCCAGAGTTATGCTATTAGGCATAGCTGTACAAATGCTCAGCTCAAAAAGAGGGTGGCTCAACACCACCCCCTCACTGTCATTCCTTCCCATTAGTTTATTTCCTCAGTAAGCTGGATGTGTTTTCTAGCAAGGGGGAAAGTGCCGGGTGACAGATCATCATGATACATTTCTGTATCTAATGATATACTGATGTGATTTTCACCATGATTTGCTAAAGGAAATTAAGTATTTTCATCTAATTCTGAAGAATGCAAAAAATGCAAAGAGGTAAGTGGGTTTTTTCAACCTGAATATTTAGCAGTGACCTCCTTGACAGCATGCTGCAATTATATTTCTGCTATCTCATTAATCTCCTAATTGTCCTCTTCAATAGCCTCTACACTTACCGTAGCCATCCAGTGTGAAAAAAGATCACTCAGTGTCAATGCAGCTTCCAGTGTACCAATTTTTACCAGCAATAAATGGAATATCAAGGGAAAATAAACCAGAGATGCGAGCATCTCATACCAGTCACAAAATAAACATCTTTCTGTGTGTTCAGTGGTGAGTCAGTGGATCCTAGGCGGACGGAAACCATATTAGAAAAGATTTGTGATCTATGTTGGGTGAAAACTCGTCCCATCTTCATAACCCTACTCCTTCTCAAGTGACAAGGGAAATACAGCAGACTTATCAGTTCTTTGTCAGCTCCAGTGCACCCACTGAAGAGTCGTATTCACTAACAAAATAAAGTAATAGAAAGCAAAAGACCATCTTGAAAGATTTTCCAACACTCCACCACAAAGAGATGTTCACTGCTACAGCAACAGCAGAAGCAATACTTTTGAGCAGGGGCTTCTGGTGGCTGCTTTGCCTTGGTGATACCATAAGAGGAAAATAAGAATTTTACTTCTTTATTGGTGAGCGAGAGGGATGGGAATGTAACAAATGACCCTTGACATAAGGTACTTGATTAAGAATTGATTTTTTTAATGACAGATTCAATTTTGTTTTAAAAACCGAAACAAAACATTCGGCAATCAAAGAAAAGCTATGTAAATACTGGTTAATAAGCTTTAATATCATACCAAAATACTTTTTCACGTTAGTTAATATAGTTAATAAGCTATTTGTGGATTTTGTTTATATACATACAATATATGGCTTTATTTCACAATAACAACAACAACAACAACAACAACAAGAAACACCAAAGCATTGCTAACAGCAACAATTAGTCACTTTAAACAGATGCTGACAGTGAACATGAGATTATTCGCCTCCTTTATACTCATCCATTAAGACATCATTTTAATCATTTGTTTAGAATTCATTTTTTCTCCTGCTTACTTGATACTTAGGGATTTTGAATCAGATTCTGTGAATTCTTTTGCCTGTGAAATATCCTGAAGCTAATTCTGCACCATTTTTATCCCAGCAGCACTAAAAGGTTTCTGTCCAATGCATAGTTCAAGTTGCAGTGATGCTGAATTCACAAGGTGAGAAACAGGAGGAGTTTGCTTGATTTTGGTATTTAGCCTTTTGTTCACTCCTGACTGAACAGGCACTATGGATGAGAATTTTGACTGAGAAAGAGAAATTTCAGAACAAAAATCTACAGAGAGCTGCAATCTCCGGAAAGGTTACCAAGTATTTCTGAACTGCAAGACAGATTGCTGCTCACAGGGAGCAGTGTGATCCACTTTGCTGAAAGATGCAAAAAAAAAATCTTGCACCTTCTGCTTTTTGATGCCTTTCATCATTCTTTACATCAGAAAATGTCTTACTTTCAGCTGGGATATAACGGTTTTCTTCAGAGTTTCTGGTATGATGCCGTCCTTTTGATTCAAGAAGAAAAACGATGTTGATAACACAAAGATGTTTATAATTGCTGATAAGCAGTGTTATATAGAGCCAAGGCCATTCTCAGAGAAGGGCCCAAGGTGCTGGGAGGGAACAGAATTGGGAGAGCTGACTTAAACTGGCCAAAGCAATATTCCATAACATATGACATCATGCAGAAGGAGTTTTGAAGGGGACAGAAACTCGTCTAACTCTCTTCTGGTGCTTGGTAGGCTAGATGGGCATCAGTTTGGGGGATGTGGAGAGTATACTTCTAAGAGAGCTTGTGCATCACTTGTTACACATATTTGTATATATATATATAGTCATAACTATTATTCTTTTTCTTTTCTCGATCCTAATAGTGTTGTCTCAACACACAAGTCCTATTCCGGTGGCTTTTTTCTTTATTCTCTCCTCCATCCCATGGGGAAGAGAGGAAAGTGAGTGAACAACTGTTTGGTGATCAGCAATCTGCTGAGTTAAACCACAACACTAAAGCAAATACTTGATGCTGGCCTAACACTTGGTGAGACATTGCCCTGTTCAAAAATCAAAATAGAACAAACACAATTTTCCCCACAGTGAAATCGGGACACAAATTCCCAGCAGATGGTGTTTTCAGATATCAGGTTTCCTATTTATCCTGTCTTTTGGAAATCAATCTCATATAATGTTGTCAAAAATTTATGGGCTGGTTTGGCCTGGTTCCGGGACTAGCGGGATTTTGCGAATCCACATCTCTAGAAAAGGTGAACAGGGGACTCCAAAAATAATTAAAAACAGAGGCAATGATCTGAGAAGAAATAAACTAATTAAGTAAATATGGTATGAGAACACAAGATAACACACTATAATACAATATAATTAGAATCAAAGCTAATAAATCAAATACAGTGAGAGTATCTGAAAGTTGAACGCCTTATGCTAGTGCTGAGGCGATGTGTGTGGTTGGGATGAACAGCAGGGAGGCTGAGGATCGAAAAGCGGAAGGTCTGATGACCTACCAAGGCCTTACATCTGTTCCCTCTGAGCAAAAATGGTAACAACACAGTGTACAGTCTTCTGGGGTATGTAGTTCTCTTCTGGGACAGGTACCTGCAACTGGAGCATTAACACTTTAACTCCCAGTGCACTACGTAATGTTATGATGTGGAATACTTATAACCAAAAATCATAAAATCATGACAAATGTGAATGTGGAGAGGTAGAAAAGAGAAGACAAAAATTTGCATAGTACCACTCTTCCAATTTACTTATCTTATGACTCCATAAGGCATCTCTCACGCTCAAGTAAGGAGCTTTTTACTAATAAAAACAAAAGTAAGACACAGTCCCTGCAAAGTAAAATCAGCAACAAATATAACCCTTTCACCCTACTAAATGCTAGAAAAATGCATGGAAAGAAGGTTTTCCCTCTTAAATTACTTAATGAAATATATTTATGTCAGCATAACACAAGGACTATGTTTCCAGTATAAAACGGGGGAAAAGCTCTTTAGGACTCAAGCTATATTTGAAAAGAAGCAACAAAAGAGATATTTATTGCAGAATAAAAGTTTTGTCACATTGAATCAAATAAAGATTATTTGGAGATGTCTATAAATAAAGGCATTATACTCGGCTAGAGTTAATTCACCTGCAATTTCTGCTCTAAATCATACATCATTGATAGAGCAATTTATTTTCAGAGGTGGCCTGCATTGGCAATGACAGACTATTTACTTCTAGCCTTGAGGCTCATAGTTCAAATTCCTTTTATTGCCCTAAGAAAGGCTTGGAGATATTGGCCTCAGGTCTCCACCCCATGCCAACAAAGATGAATGTGTTTAAAAAAAACCTTTGAAACAGACTTTTACACTGCTTTAGGTTTTTCTTACGTGCATTACTTGCTATAACTCCATGAACAAGCACAATATAACACATTCAAGTCATGAAACTCCCTCCAGTATTCCCAAGAGGAAGTATTCAAAAATTTTTCTTTACAAATCTCATATGGATACACAGAGGAACATCATGCTACATTCCATTGCAGAGGAACTGAATTGCCTGACTGTGAGTCTCTAAATCATAGCTAAATTAGAAGGATAGCATGATTTAAAAGAAGTGGTGGAGATACTTTTCGAAGAGGCATCTGGAGAACACCTCTAAGTAACTTCTGATTCACCACTCAAAATCTTCATGGAGACTGTATCATGAGCCTATGGAACAGAAGGTCCTGCAGCAATGATGCAGAAAAGTGAAGATTTCTGTAGTCTGCCTTGGAAACGAAGTAATTATCTCCATATTCTCAAAGCAGTGAGTGCAGCAGGTCTTTTCAAAAGCCCCAAAATCTGTATTCTCCAAAAGGAAAGGCCAGGAGAGAAAAGGTAGGCATTGATTTCTGTGTCACAGCTCACTTTTCTCAGGTTCAAGACAATTCAGTTTCCCACCTGAGCAAATTCAGCTTTGAATTCCTAGGGGAAGCAGACAACCAGGTAGCTTTTGGCAAGAAATGGCAGAGGATATCTGTTTTTGCTACTCCACGTACATATGTTGCTGAGCATAGAAATCAAAAGACAACCAAAACATAAGTTAAATTTGAATGAGACTGGTGGATCATGACTGCAACAACTTGCTCACCTGGGGCACATCTCCTGCATGAAGCTCAATCAAAGCAGCTTGGTACAAATGGTGTGATTTAATAAGGAATGACTCAAGCTGACTCAAGCTAACTCAAGCTGGTATGTGAACATTTTGTGTTGATCACAACCTGAAAAAGAATAGGAAATGCAAATTCAACTGTTCCAGATTTTGAGTAGTGGCTGACCCTGACATTTGATCTGAACTTCACAGACAGACATCTGTCTCTGTTCAGGTGTGTCTCCAAATCAAACTGTCCATTTCACCTGCTTGGCACAGCAGGTCTTTGCATTGTCTATCCCTTAATTCCTTCCAATAAAAACATTAGTCAGGTCAGCTCAGCCAACAATTGGGACTGAAAAAGCTAATCTTATCTACAGCACATCAGGAAGCATAAAGGTATACTGCTCTGACTGCATCAGTACTGAGTCTGCTTGGGGAGGGTAAGGCAGTGAAGTACTTCTCCCATTGCTACATCAGAAGCACATAGAGGACACAGTCTCAGCAGAGGATGTAAAGATTTAAGTTAAGGGCTTGTCACAACAATCCCTTTTGATGAGGTAATCCCAAAATGACTCCTTCCCTGTTTACATTTAAACGTATGTAAATAAACTCTGTAAAACAGATCAGGCTTAATCCCCATACAAGCATTCTGGTTAATATAAATGTTTAAAGCAAGTACATCATCTCTAGTGAAAACATTCTTTTTTTCAGCAGAGCACAGCTAAGCAAGAAGCTCCGATTCAGATCAGCTGGTTGCTCTGTATACTTACAATTGGTATTTGTTTTAACGGAGATAGGCCCTGAGTTACATATGTGAATTAATTAATTAATTCTAGTGCCTGTGGTACTAATTCAGCACATGATTTCAGGCAGTCAAGCTCAAAAGCCCTCTCTGACAAAACGAGTGTCATAGTTCCTACTATAAATTGACCTTGTAAAACTCTCTGAGTTCACATCAGACTATCCTAGCACCTCTTTTCTCTCTTCCTTCACCTGTAGTTTACTGACTAGGTCTTGGTGCTACAAGACAATCTGGTGAGGTTTGGCAGGTCATTAATTCTATCAGATGTAGACTGACCTGGGAGAGTTTTATAGCAGGAGTGTTATAATAACTGACAAGTTATTAACTGTTGGGTTAATAAGCTCCATTTTTAGACATCTCATTTTCTATGCAGAACTGAACAAAATCTTGAGGAGAGACACAAATTAAGTGAACAAAAATTGAACAGCTTTCTTTTTCTTTCCTGTAAGAGCTTACATTACAGGACTAGGAAAGTAATCCTGCTCCTGTACTTGGCACTGGTGAGGCCCCACTTCGCCTTCAGTTTTGGGCACCTCAGTACAGAAGGGACATTGAGCTGCTGCAGCAGGTCCAAAAAAGGGCTAGAGAAGGGCTTGGAGAATATGCCCTATGAGGAATGACTAAAGGAACTGGGGCTGTTTAGTCTGGGGAAAAGGAGGCTGAGGGGGTGACCTTATTGCTCTCTTCAAATATCTGAAAGGTGATTACAGAAAGAGCTGGGTTGGACTTTTCTCACTGGTGACAGGACAAGGGGAAATGGCCTCAAGTTGTGCCAGGATAAGTTTAGGTTCGTAGTTCAGGAAAAACTTGTTTACAGAAAGGGTTCTTAAGCACTGGAATAGGCTCCCCAGGGAGGTGGCTGAGTCACCACCCTGAGCACATTTAAAAACTGTTTGGATGCGGTGCTCAGGGACATGATTTAGCAGGGGGTTGTTAGAGTTAGGGTACTATGGTTGGGTTGTGGTTGGACTTGATGATCTTTAAGGTCTTTTCCAACCTGAATAATTCTATGATTCTGCGTACGACATTTCAACAGTTATTACATTAAAATCTAAAATAACGTAAGCTGTATCTAGCATACTAAATTACTCTCTCTTCATGTAACTCAAGGATCCAAGAGAAGGAAAAAAAAAAAGTGACAGAACAAAATGGGCACTACGCCTTGGTTAAAAACTAAGTAACTTGCATTAAGAACCTAAAGCAATATTCATATGCTTTCTCCTCAGTAATCAACAGGTAATAACTATTTGTTGATCAGCTCTTCAGATCACAGTTAAGTTAGAGATGGGTTTAAAAATGTTTTCTTCCAAGAAAACAATTCAGCTGCTCCAGGAAAACAGGATTAATGTTTTCTTGTGATGTTTCCTGCACCAGCTGTATCTTTAACCATACCGAGTGCACTTCTGCTATAAAACTCTCCCAAGTCAGTCTACCTCAGAATTAATGACCTGCCAAACCTCACCAGCTTGCCTAGTGGTACAAAAATCATCCAAATAATAAATGCTTACTAATGCTGCTATTTCTCACTAGTCCTGCCTTGCAATAGCATGCAGCCATGAACAGATGTGAGAGATTGTGAGAGGTAGATTGTGTTTTTGCAGTAGAAGGTTCCAGTATTTTCTGTATGTAGTATAGGCCTTTACTGAACTTATAACCCTCTTGTGAAATTGCTGTTTTTCTTTGTCACGGGGTTATCCCTAGATGTAAGTCCGTGACGGGGGCACAGGCCCCGAAAAAAAAAAAAAAATAGGAGAGACAGAAGAGCGAAGAAAGAAAAAAAAAAGGTAGGGGTACAAACAGTTTGCCATGCTATCTGGCCGGCAAGGCACAAGGAGAGGCATGCTCCAGGAGAGGGGGAAAGGCAGAGAGCTGGCAGATAGTTTTAACAAAGAGAAAACACAACGGCAACGATCTGAGGAGGAATGGTAATTTACTAAATTTAGCCAAATCAAACAAAATGAGAGAGACAAGAGTACCCAAAGTGCGAGCAAAGCACGTGCCCAGCTCTGCAGCAAACTGAGCCGGCTGAGCGGCGGCAGAGGGAGAAGCGTCCGGGCGTCAGGTCCAGAGCGCCATCTATCTTTCTCTGTCCGCCAGGTCCTCCGGGAATGCCGCCCAGAATACTTAAAATGCCCATAAAAGGCAGTACACGGAACCAGAATATTAACTCTTTAACTCCCACTGGTTCCCATGATGTTCTTATGTGGAATACTGACAACAAAAAATCACCAAACCGCAGAATTCTTCCACTAAGAAAGTTGCACTTCCACTAAGAAAGAGTAAAAATTTAAGATTTGGGGTGTTCTGACTGGGGTAGAATTGAGCCAGGCACAACATAAGGCAAATATGCAGGGTGGAGATAGAGCCCAGCACGGGGCAGAACAAACGTGCTCATTCTTGGAATTATTGCCCTCCTATCTCCATGGGAGAGTACAAAATATACCAAAGAAACAGGTTGGTAACAGACCTTATATGGAAATGTATCATAGCAACATCATCGGGGAGATTGTGAGCATGAGCCACTCAACCAATGAGCAAGCTCCAGGCGAGCTTTACTTGTGTCGAATTTATGGTACGTAACAGGATGAATTTCGCTGACTGGTGCACAACTTCTCCCTTGCCAATAAGGGGTGTGCGCCTGTTACTGCAATAACAAATAAACTTTGCTGCTATTACTAAGATCCTTGCCTAACCTGAAATTTTTGACTTTGAGTGTTTATCACAAGATGGATATGGATTTTCTTTCTCCTGCATACACGCATAAATGTGGAGAAAGCTGGAGAATAAGGTAATGAACCAGGATTAGGTGAGTGATGAACACACTCTTATAGAATCATAGAATCATAGAATCACTAAGGTTGGAAAAGACCTAAAAGATCATCCAGTCCAACCATTCACCTATTCCCAATAGCTCCCACTAAACCATGTCCCTCAACACAATATCCAGCCTTTCCTTGAACACCCCCAGGGTCGGTGACTCCACCACCTCCCTGGGCAGTCCATTCCAGTGCCTGACCACCCTTTCTGAAAAGTAATACTTCCTCATGTCCAGCCTGAATCTCCCCTGCCGTAGCTTGAAACCATTCCCCCTGGTCCTATCACTAATGACACGAGAGAAGAGGCCGACCCCCAGCTCACTACAACCTCCCTTCAGGAAGTTATAGAGAGCAATGAGGTCTCCCCTGAGCCTCCTCTTCTCCAGGCTGAACATTCCCAGCTCCTTCAGCCTCTCCTCATATGGCCTGTGTTCCAGACCCCTCACCAGCTTTGTTGCCCTCCTTTGAACACGTTCCAGGGCCTCAATGTCTTTCTTGCAGTGAGGGGCCCAAAACTGGACACAGTACTCGAGGTGTGGCTTCACTAGTGCTGAATACAGGGGAACAATCAGGTGATTGTTTGCAACACTGTTTCTGATGCAAGCCAGGATGCCACTGGCCTTCTTGGCCACCTGGGCACACTGTCTTTGATAATTTTGCACTGAGGACATGACAGAATAATTGTATCTTTGCCTCAAGGATTTTGCCTCAAAAAAAGCACAGGAGCAATAACGGAGTACTTTTATCATTTGTACCCAGGAAGTGCAAGGACATCTTCCTCAGAATTCCACATACATTGTTTCAAAAGTTTCTCACTATGGCCTAATATGCAATGCAAATTTTCCAAATTGTGGAAAGAGAAGTGGATAAAAGATATTCAGAGATCTCAGTACTGAAGCTGATGGTGGAAAATGAAGAAAAGAAGTAGGTGGGCACTTGACCACCCTAAATATCACGGAGCATGCCCAAAGGGACATCAGCTTGTATCTATGAGTTCTTGAAAAAGAATGAATATGTATAACAATATACTGCATATGCATGTCTTGACTGTTCAAACATGGAACCTGAACTCTGACAGGGTGTGCTTGCTGGTCAAATCACATGGTACATATAATGAGGAATACAGAAATGCCGCTTTCTAACAGCACACTGGAGCAGGGATTTTTCTCCCTGGATTTCGGATGACACTATGAAAACACAAACAGTAGATGAGAAGTGTTGAGATATGAACCTGTACTTGTACATATGTGAATGATCCTAGAATATAACCACAAAAAACAGTTGCACAATCTCAAAGTAAACAAAAAGTAATTAAAAAAAAGAAAAAAAAAAAAAAAGAAAAACATAAACAGTGACCTTCCTGTAGCTTTTAACTTCTTCCCCCAAGAGAAAAGACTTTGAATTTTGAATAGGCACCTGGAAAAGTTTCCTACTGATACAGAATGAAACAATTTATTCTCAAGATGTCAACTGAGCAATAAAGCATAACCACAAAGTACTTGGCAACTTTTCTGCAATTTGCTGTATGCTACTGAAGACTTTTGTGTGTGTGTACAGATAAGCACATATATCATCTGACCTGTCATTAGCTTATCAAAAATTTGGAGTATAAGTTGTCCGTGATGATATAATATTTACATGCCAAGATTTGAAGAACAGCCCTTACATAGGCCTAGGATTTGACAGAGGCTATATCCCTTATTAGAGTGTAAGAGAACTGCATTCTTTCGTTCAAAGGTATGCAGAGGTATACACTAGGAAAGAAATAGGGAGGGTGTGAAGGAAACGACCTAACTTCTTTCTTGTAATGCATTCAGATGCCAAAAATATTGTTTTCCACTTTATATCAAGAAATATAACCAGAAGAGAAAGGGTGTCTATAGTGGAATTCCAAGGTCTCAGCCTGAACCAATGGGTGAGCTACATGAGTACATGAGTGCCTGGAGCCAGCAGGGGGTTTAGAGCCACCCCTTCTGTCTCCATGATACTTCCCATGCCATGTGAGTCTTCACAGGTCCCCCTCTCCCCTGGCCTTTCTTTGCTGCAGCCCCGATGGTTCGAACAAGGTAGGGTCACATTCCTCAGATCGTCCTTTTCTCCAAACTTACCTGGAGGGGTGAGTATCCTCTTGGATACCTTTTCCTATAGCACCTGTTTCTCAAAAAAAAAGGCTCTGTCATTGCCTTTGTTTGTTCTACAGTGCCAAAAATTTTCCTATGTACAGTGTACATGGGTCAGAATGGCTACTCTTGAGATACTGCAGTTTAAACACAGTCTTTAACTTTAAAGAGCTACAACAGAAATGAGAAGGCATCCTACTGAAGACAACTGACTTATTTATGATTTATACCAGTTCAGAAGAAAGCAAAGCAAAATACAGTTACCTCTACAGCCTGCAGCATAAATATACTTGTAAATGTTTGCTGCTGGGAAAGTTTATCTAACCTCCTCGTCTACATAAATATTTGCTTTGTAAATGATTTGTTTTGAAGTTACATTTCAGACTCAACAGGTTTATATCCACATACAAAGCATTAGCAGCTATTGGCACATCAGTCTCATTCTACACGCAGTGTTGATTCAGGGGGGGGCAAAGCTGCCCCCCCCTTTCCTCACAATTTCAGGTGTTGTGTCCATTTTACATGTCAGCACTCTCTGGCTGGTGTTTAACAATGGGCTATTACTATTACCGAAAAAAAAATAAAAATTTCATTGAGGATTTGTTGATATTTAAAAAAAAAAATTTTTTTTTTACTTGTACATAATGGAGCACTGGCATAGGCTGCCCAGAGAAGCTGTGGATAACCCATCCCTGCAGGTATACAACGTGAGATTGGATAGAACCCTGGGAAACGTGGTTTGGTGGGAGATGCTCCTACTCATGGCAGGAGTGATGAAACTGGATGGGCTTTAAGAACTCTTTCAATCCAAGCCATTCTACAGTTCTGTCCATTCCTAGTCTGCCCTGGTCAGAGAAATGAGAGAGAATACAAAGAACTGGTGAGAACAGATAAATGAAGTGGCATTTGGCCATAACAAAAAACCATGTTAAGTAAAAATAGCAAAAAACAAACAAACAAAAAAAGCATTCAAATGCCAAAGTTTAATATTCTGCAGGTTAGATTCAATCAAAAGCAAAATGCTGTATTAGGGAAAAACCACCACGACAGCAGCAGTTTTAAAAAAACCAACAAAAGTGCTGTTTCAACCATTTTAGCAAAGACTTTGGGTGGATCAGCTTCATAGCAGAAGTTCACACCAGGAGAGCCTTCACAGAATGATAAAACCATAGCAAAAAAGCCATGAGGAAGGGAGGGCACAGATTCTGAGGTGCAGAAGCACTGACATTGTGTGGGAAGAGCCAGGAGGTGACAGCAGCTGAACCCCCCGCAGGTATTAAACCTGCCACTAGGGAACGATTGGAACAGGACGTGGAGAGACAGAAGACAGTGGTACAGCAGCTTGAGTGGGCAGTTCACACAGAACAGGTGAGCAGAGAGTCCCCCGCATGCTAGAGAGAATCACAGAATCGTAGGGGTTGGAAGGGAGCTCCAGAGATCATTGAGTCCAACCCCCCTGCCAAAGCAGGTTACCTACAGCAGGTCACACAAGTAGGTGTCCAGGTGGGTCTTGAATATCTCCAGAGAAGGAGACTCCACAACCCCCCTGTGCAGCCTGTTCCAGTGCTCCGTCACCTCACCTAAAGAAGTTCTTGTGCACATTTGTGCGGAACTTCCTCTGCTGCAGTTTCTGGCTGTTTCCCCTTGTCCTGTCTCCACACACTGCTCAAAACAGTCCAGCCTCGCCACTCTGCCCCCCATACCTTAGATATTTATAGACCTGGATCAGGTCCCCTCTCAGTCTCCTTTTCTCAAGGCTGAACAGACCCAGTTCACTCAGCCTTTCCTCATAGGAGAGATGCTCCAGGCCCCTCACCATCTTTGTGGTCCTCCGCTGGACTCTTTCCAAGAGATCCCTGTCTTTTTTGTACTGGGGAGCCCAGAACTGGACACAGTACTCCAGATGAGGCCTTACCAGGGCAGAGTAGAAGGGGAGGATCACCTCCTTTGACCTGCTGGCCACATTCTTTATAAAGCACCCCAGGATGCCATTGGCCTTTTTGGCCATGAGGGCACGCTGCTGTCTCATGGCCAATCTGTTGTCCACCAGGACACCCAGGTCCCTCTCTGCAGAGCTCCTCTCCAGCAGGTCATCCCCCAACCTGTACTGGTGCATGGAATTATTCCTCTCCAGATGCAAGACTCTACACTCGTTTTTGTTAAACTTCATCATGAGATGTTCATTAGATGATCATCACCCTCAGAGTACAGAGTTGTCACATTCTAAGTGCAGGATTACCACCCTCCAAGGTCAGAGAGTTAGTCCTGGTATCCACCCAAAGAAATGTCACAGTATCTGTCTCTGCCAGGAAGGGTACTGCAACTCTGACTGAATTAGGAGCCACCTATGTAGTTGTCCAGACCTCCAGCTGTCTACAGTGGTAGAGTGCATGAGCCTTTCACTAGCATGGCAGAACAGTAGACAAAATAGCTGTGTAAAATGTGAGGAGATAGACTATCTGCTTTGCCTTGTGGCTAGGCTACAGGATGAAATACTTAGTTAAAAAGTATAATGGGAGACAAAAAGAAGGAGTAGGGAAACTATGCATGCACAAACAGGTTATTTCAAAGGAAAAAAAAAAAACAAAACACTACAAGACCAAAGACATCCTTTATCCCACCTGAGGAAAAAAAAATTGTCAGACTGGAGGCAAGAACACAAAGGAAAGGAGAGGATGGAAGCAAGTCTGTACTCAAAGATAAAAACGAAAATCCCTGCCTGCTCTACCAACCCCCAGGTGCCTCTCTACAACATATATGAGGCACTGGACGTGGAAGGCTCATCTGAGGGTGAGAATAGCTCAGACTAGACAAACCAAACAAGGAAAAGCCTTTCCCAAACATCAAGACCTTGTCATTGAAGAAACAGGTACTAGTCTGTTGAGTTACCTGTAGGGAGGAATTGCCTTCAACTGATGTGTTGAGCAGATCCTCAATCAAATCTCATGCAGAGCATCAGAGGAGAGCTATGGGGCTGGCTCCCTCCCTCAGGCTGGCTGAGGGCAGCTTGGGGCTGCAGGAATTGGTGGATGGTCTGATCACAGGGTTTTATATCTGCAGTTCTCATAAGCTTCTCTTCTCCCCTGCAGATGCACTGCAGCAACTCCAAGCCCTACAGTGGGTGAGGGCATGCTTCAGTCATGCTTCTGCTAAATCTGATGAGAACTGAGGAATTCTGAACTCATTACATGTTTCTGTATTTGCTTAAAAAGAGCGACCAGAAACACTCTTCCCTGTAGATTCAGGGTCTTTACTCAAGATCATTATTATAAAGATTGTTTTCTTTTTTTTAAGGTGTGTACACATAACAAGAAAAAGGTGTCAGTTAAGAAGAAAAAAATGAGAAGTGCTAGTTTAACCTATGAAACAATAACCGTCAGTATAAGATAAACCAAATATTGGCAGTGTAACTAGGAGGAGGAAAAAAGAAAACTTTGAAAAATATCTGCATACCTCTGACTATCTTTCCCAGAACAGCACACTCAATGCAAATCAAAATATACTTGCCTTCTTCTAGACCAGTTTGATGCCTTTTGGCCCTGTTCCTACATTTGGAGAGTAAGGGTTCCAGTTAGCTAGAAATGTGGTCTAATTTCAGAAATGATTAATTCCTGTCTTTAAAACCCCTAATGACCCAGGTGTAATGCCATCCTTTCAGTGACTACTCCAAATCTCCATTCCTACAAGGACTATGGCTCTGTAGCTGTTGTTTTTTTTTTTACTGCAAAACTTACAACCTCTCCCCCATTGGGGGTTGAAATTAGATAATCATTACAGTCCTTTTCAACCCAGGCTGTTCTATGATTCTATGATTCTATGACATGCTGGCCTGAATCTTGTTATGTTCTGTGTGCCTGAGAAGTACTAGCTGAAGGAAAAAACAATATGCTGATGGGCTCATTTTCTGCAATGAGGAAATATAATCTACTACTACAATCTACTAAAACAGACACATTACTTTTAGCAGTCTTCCCAGTAGTTAATGAGCTACCCTGAATACTACTGTATTGCAAAGGCAGAGTTTATGTTGGTGCTGTCATAGAGATTGGCTGTGTGGCCATTGAAGCACTTCTGATTTACTAATGATGATTCCAAGGAAAATTAAAACAGAAAGAGGTAAAGACCTTCAAGATTACCAAGTCCAACCGTCAATCTGAACTGATCAGTCTCATCACTAAGCCACGACCCTCAGTGCCCACATCCACACATTCCTTAGACACCTCCAGGGAGGGGATTCTTCCACTGCCCTGGGCAGCCCATCCCAATACTTGACTCCTTGAAGGAAATCTCACAATCAGTGCTGAACAAAATGCAATACCATCTCAGTTTGATGTACTCCAGAGTGAAATCATGCACTGCAGAAAGCAGCACTATCTAATTATTTTTCAGTTTAGCACTGATGAGTTTTTCTGAGTATTCCTTGCTGGCCACCAAGTTTGCATTTCATTCAAGTTGCAGAATAACAAGATGTATTTAGTAATTATCTAACTATAATAACCAACTGCTAAATCTTTCAAGAGCAGACAAAATAATGAATATGTATGTATTCCAAAACTAAAATGTACAAAGCAATACAATTTTACTAATAATGTGCTTTGCTTTACTGCAAAATGTCATGCGATTGTATCAGGTGACCTGCATCAGTTAAACACTGAAGTGTTTGATTTACTGCTTTGGGCTGTTCATGAAACAAATTCTCTACAAAGAAAAATCCGCTCTGCTTTGCTTCTGAGACGCTGGAGCTCCCACATAGTTATCACTGTAATTGTCATCCCCAGCCAGATTAGCGGCAGTGAAGACTGTAGTGTCATCTCCAGACTATTGCAGAAGCTGTATATTTGAATCAACCGCTGCTAGCTCTAGCAAAGCTTCATCTGACAAAGCAGAAGACCTAAAATATTAAGTACCGTAATTCAATAAATTTTGCTTTCCAAGAGAAAACACTACCCTTTCAAGCAGTAGGATGATTTTTATTCTGAAGAATTTCCTACTACTGCCATACATTAGCTGAACCATTGATTAGCATATGCA